TCTATTTTCCGGATTGGAACTAAAATCATTGTTCTTAGATTGAATATAAGTCAACAGCCTCCACGTGGCTTACAATGTGTATAGAGGCCATTTTGCTATGGTTTAATCTTAAATCTTTGCCAAAGGCCCACATGCTAGAGTTTTGGTCACCAGCTGGTGGCGTTAACTTTGAGGTTATGGAGCCTCAGAGAAAGTGAGGTCACTGGGGTGTGGCACTTGAGGGGGATGTTGGGACTTCAGCCTCTTCCTGTCACCACCAGGAAGTGATCAGCTCCACCACCTTTAAGGTCACAGACCTCTTCCACCAGATGCTTCCACCATGATGGACTGTGCCATTCCATCCCAAAGCAACAGGGCCAAGCAACCATAAATGGAAACCATTTATGGAATGACACCAAACATAGCTTTGCTATTTTAAATTGATTTACCTGAGATGTGTGCAGAGACAAGAAGTTAACCACCATGCCTCGCTGACCTTTTCAGCTTCCTCTCCCCAACCTCCTGGTGAAGGGGTTTTGGCCCAGGCCGGACACTGTAGCCAGTAATGGCAAGGAGCTCCTATCTCCCCCTCCCTTAGGATTCTGCCCCTGGCGCCAAACAAAGACCAATGGGCTACCTGTGCATCCCTAATGCCCCCTTAGGTTCCACCCCAAGCCGAAGCTACTTATGTGCCCCACTCCAAGTGTTCCACGGAGAGATCGCCCACCCGGGGTGGAGATGCCACGCCCCAGGGGGTTGGGGGTGTCTGTCCCCACATTCTCAAAATAAAGGTCATTTATATTTCATACTTATGTTTTCAGCTGCCGCCGGTCCCCCACAGTTCTATCACCTGGAACCTTGTATTCTGCCTTCTGGCCGTCTCATGGTTCTCCTGAATGCCAGGAGCCAATCCAATCAGTGGGTTGATCCAGCAATCACCCACCCTTAATCCCAGGACCCTTAATCCCATCACTGCACTATGAATCAATTATACCCTCTAGATTCAACCAACTCCCAAAAAAACACTGACTGCATGAAGCTTTGGTGGGACGTCTAGACACAAACCATGACATTCCACCCTTGACCCCCTAAAACTCATGCACATTCATTCATGCAAAAGGCATTCAGTTCATCTCCAAAAGATGCCAAAGTCTTAACAGTTTCAGCATTTCTGAAAAGTTCAAATCAAAAGCCTCCTGAGATTTAAGACAAACTCTTAGATATGAATCTCTGTACAAATGAAAAGAAAGTTAAGCACTTACAACATTTAATGGCACAAGATAGTCATATCTGTTCTAAAAGTTACAAACAAGAGAATACAATGAAATGAGATTGAAATGATCCCAAAGCCAGCAATGAAAATATTAAGTCCTGTAGTTCTGTGTGCAGCATCAGAGGCAATGTGCAGCCAGATGTGAGCTCTAAGGGCCTTGGGTGTCTGCCCCAAAAGCACTTCTGGTAGTTGTAACTCTCATGACTTTTTTCTTGGGCCAGCTCTGCTCCCTCCTTACAGTTTTCCTCAGATAATAAACTTTCCTGGCTTCTCCCAACTTCTGGGATCTGCACTACATATTTTGCTTCACACTCACAGCTTCACACATTGCCCTCTCAGCCTGGCCTCCAAGGCCCCCTAAAATCTGGGTGGAAGCCTCCCTGACCCCACAACTCTTGTATCCTGTGTGCACCTATAAGTAGCACCATGTGAATGATGCCAAGGTCTGCTGCCAGCTGGAAGAGTAGCCAGGTTTCCCTCTTGCTTGGATGTAGGAGTCAAGTGCTTGGGTGACTGAGCAGTTTGAATCCAAATCTGAGGAACAAATTCTCTATGCTGCCACCATTCTGGAACATGGTGTTCTGCAGTTTTCTTATCAAAGCGAAGTCTTTCACTTTTGCAATTGTGGGACTGCAAAGTATGGAGCCCGTAGGCCATATTTGTATACTCTTGTTCCTTCCCAGCAATCCAGATCAACTCTGCTCTATCTTTGCAGTCCACAGCTTCCCTGGAGCTTCCTTCCTGGCCCCATTCACACTTTAAAGTGCAATTTTAAAATTAGCTATTTTGAATCATTTCGCAGGCTCCAGGTTGATACTTATCACTCAGAGAGAGGAATAGCAGCCTTGTCTAAGGTCAGAGAGACAGCAGGGCAACAGTTGTTCTGGCTCCTACTGGTCAACTGACATATGAAACCTTCCTAAGAGCCAGATGTTCAGTATCTCTAAAAAATACCTAATGCTTGGAGGGGCATACAGAGCTTAGTGAGGCCTTCAGTGCCAGAGCATTAAGAACATAGAAAATAAAAATTAATAATTACAATCTAGGCAGGGTGTCTAGGTCTTGGCTCAAATCTCTTTCACTCAGGTGGTTTCTATGACTCCCAGACTGGGCCATTTTGCATTTACAGCTCCTTCACAATTTCTACTTTATGACATTTGATTAATGTCTGACTTCACATGCAAACTTCCTAACTTAACCAAAGCAAACATGAGGACATATAATTTGTCATGTTTAATCCTTCTGAAGCCCTTGTAACATGTTGGGGGCAAATCTATCTCTGTCTTGGGTATCTAGCGCAAAGCCACTGCCTCTCATGAGTGTTGCAGGGCCCCATGGGAAGTGAGCAGAGCTCAGGGAGCTGATGCTCCTAGTGACTTGAGCTTTGTTTGGGATAAAGGTTTCCTCTTGTCCCCGTGAGGCCACCAAGACTTGCTGTTCTGCTAATAGATTAGGTTTTCTTCCTGCCCCAGATCCTACCCTCCCCTCAAACTCTCCATGAATTTATTCCTGTGCTGGTTGTATAAATAAATGCACTGCAGGTGCCTTTCGTGTTCTCCCCTCGGGAGTGAGGACTTCAGCTGACCACAGATTTTGCATATTGATTCCTGTCTTTCTTCACTCCCATTGTCCTCCCTCCAGAGTTTCAAGAGCTGCACAGGATGTAGCAGTACCAAAAATAGAATTTTACATATAACAGTTATTCAAGAAACTGAATGAAACAAAGCTTATCTCCAGGCCTTAGTCACTGCTACACCAAGATGAATAAACTGCAGGCACTCCCTTCCACTTTTATGTAGATCCCAGACATCAGCAATTAGAAAACCACTTTCCAGGGGACTAATACTGCCAACCAAGTTGCTAGATCAAACCTTAACTCATGAGGCTCCCCTCAAAGTACCTTCCGTTGCTTCATATACAGTCATCCCATGGTTCCTGCCACTTTCTGAAGCAGGTCTGGAAGTCCTTATTCCTGAGTGTCTTTAGTGACATTATTATAGCTTCCCTGATGTCCTAAATCAATTTGGAACATTTATCTTTCATGTTCATTTTGATTTTGGGAAAGTGCCAGAAGTTCCATGGTGCCAGGTCCAGTGGATACGATGGATGACATAATAGCCCCGATGCATTTTATCCAGTTATCATCTTTGTCTATAATAGTGTGAGGCGAATGTATTGTTTTTGTTATTATTAAGGTATTTAATATCCTTGACTGCATATTACAGATATTAATGCCAACTACAGAGTTCCTGATTTACGGACATGAGAACCCAACATTTCCTTCTTGGCACAGTCTGCTTCCATAGTGCTGATCTAAAGACAGGAAGGATTTGGACTGAGATTCAACATAGTGTAAAAGGAGACAGGATAAAGCAATTTGCAAACACTCTTTCCATAGAGATGTCTATTCATAAATCCATAGACATACAAATCAGAACTTTCTCCTTAGCTGTTTTTAAAAATGCAAAGATCAACTTAGAACTCAAATTTCTCTGATGCCCGTAAGAAGTTCAAATAGTTTCTAAATTGAACACTGGCTGAATTTCTAGGCTTTCACTTGATTCTAGTATGTGTACACAATCACTTTACAAGAGGCTAGACAAAGCTGCATAGATCCAAGCTACAAATATGTTAGCAGGGATACCACAGATTCTAAAAACTCCAAGACAGGTATCTGTGATAACATTATCCATATTTTGATCATGAAGAAACTGAACCAGAGAGAAATGTATTGTCATGGAACACATGAGGTATGATTTTAAAAGTATCTAATTTTTTAAAAATTGATTACATTAGGATTTACTGCCTTTAATTCTTCTCAAAATATCTTCCTTTGCTTCAAACACACTTATCCCACCGTGCCTACCACTCCCCAAAGCAGTTCTGGGAGTTCTCATTCATGAGTGCCTCTAGTTATATTGTTGTGCTTTCTCGATGTCTTGAATTCACTTGAAACATTTACCAAAGACACACAGAAAAGTCGGCTTCCAGAACTGTTGCAGAAAGTGGTAAAAATAATGGAGTAAATGTACTCAAAGTGAAGTCATCTGGAGGTCTTAGGTGACAGCCATCCAGAAACTGGGGTAGGTCTGCGTTTCCCACAAATTGTAGCATGGCCATCACCTTCTGTGTAGCTGTAGTAGGATGTCCAGGGCAGGGTCAGCTGTCCTGCCAAAGCTTTCCACAGAAATGTTTGGGCAGAGACCACTGTTGCTGTGACACTCGGCGGCGTCTCCAGTAGGAAGCTTAGCAGGGATCCTGGTACACTGGGATAATGGGGTTGTGGGCTGTAGGCAACGGGCTTGGGGCCTCCCCTTAGTCTTTGCCATGGGCGTGGTTTCCTTTGCAGTTCCTCAAGCAGCAGCAGCGCCGGCAACAAGGTAGGGCCTTTTTCATGATCGCCAGGGGGAAAAGAAAGGCTGTCTTTTCATCTCAAAAAAACAAGAACCTCGCTGCCCAGGTCCTGGGATTCACAGTCGCCATTAAGACCTCGCCCCACACACTCTGTAATAGCAGGGAAGGGGCATAGAGTCTCGGGTCTTTCCTCCCAAAACTGAGGTTGTGTTAGAAAGACTGCCTGAGCATCCCATGAGTGCCGCTCCGCCCCCAGACTAGTAGGCTGTGCCACTTTTGCCTATGACTACAAAGCCCAGAAGCCTCTGCGGCCATGCCTGCAACTACAAGGTCCCAGAAGCCTCCGCCTGCGACTACAAGGCAACTGCGTACAGACGTCACTTCCCGTCGGTACTAGGGGCGATTACCAGTGCGGCAGACGCCTCTCTATGACGTCATAGGCTCCCTGCGGAAGAGCTGAACGCAGTGATGCGGTGAGGCACAGTTAGCTGCTGCGGACGTGGTGGGAGGGATTCCTACCTGGGGTGGCTTCCTGTCGTTTTCTTTTTTTTTAACAATGTGTTGATTCAGAGTAGATGTTGCACCCTTTCTTACCAGACTTTGTCCTCTTAGCATGCATTTTGTGAGCCTGCTCAGCATTTGCCTGCATTTCGGATTTGCGGGATGTGAGTGTAAAGGGGAGCACCGCGGGACAAATGTCTTCGCTATGGTTGCGTGGATTCCAGGCTGCACGCCCGGACGCCCGGAGAAACTGACAGGCTGTGCTGGCGTCAGTGTATGCTGCACACAGAGACGCAAGTTGCGTGGTATGCGCACACGTAAAATGTTACCGTTTATGTTTACAGTGCCTGCTATAACACACATACTGCATTTTCCCCGCATCGATTTTCTTAATATTTTACAGTATAACGTTTAGTGATATCTAATAACTAATCTGCCATGCATCAGCATTTCTTTGACGTCTTTTTCAACATCAGGATGTTTCTTTGGATCCCCAGCACATGTTTCGGTTTGCTGTTGTTGAATTAGCTTTATAAAATAGTTGATGGTATATCATTATGGTCTGTTTGAAAAGAAGAAAAAATCTATCTCCTTATTTCCTACAGTCTTTCCTTTGCTTTTTGAGCTATTTATACTCTGGTTCCCCTTGTAAGCGAAGCTTTGCAATATTTAAGCGTCTGATTTAGGTTTGCAAATGGTCAGGTGACCTAAAGACTTGGGGAAAGGGAATACAAATAATTTAAAATGTATTAGCTACGTGTGCCAACTCTCCACGACAGTAAACATGAACTGCAAGCATGTACCCTGTTTTTGTAGGGGGGGGGTGTTTTTATTTGTTTGTTTTTGTCTTTGAGACAAGGTCTCTGTGCAGTTCAGGTTGGCCTTGAGCTCACTTGGTAGTTTAGGCTGGTCTCAAACTGGCAGTGATCCTCCTGCCTCCACCTCCTGAGTGTTGGGATTACAGGCATGAGCCACCACGCCTGTCTTTTTGTATTTACTTATATTTGAAATTAATTTTATTGGTTTTTGACATCCATAATACCTGTACATAATATATCAATTCTTTTTCTCCCTCATCCCCCTTCCCTGCCTCCAACCTCTCTTCCCTCTCCCTTTGCAAAACTTTGTTTCTAATGTTTTTTCCATTCTTTTTTTAGTCCCGGGTCCTCCCTCCTTGCTCCCCTTCCCATTTGAACATCTTCTTCTTACTTCCCAATATCTATCATCCATTTTGGTCCTCATTTATCCGTCAGGTTTCTCACACAAGAGAAATAATATGCTACTCAAATGTGGGTCTGATTTATTTCATTTAAAATTATGTTCTGAAGGTACAGCTCTTTGTTTATCCATCAGTTGAGCATCTGGGCTGTTTCCAAGATTTAACTATTACCCATTTTGTGGTATGATGCTTCTTTTTTGGGAAGCTACCTAGAAGGGGAATACCTCAGTCAAGTAGAACATCCAATTTTAGTTTTTTGAGGAATCTCCATACTGATTTCCACAGTGGTTGCAACAGTCTGCTCTCCCACCAACAATGGCCTCACCAGTATTTGTGATTTCTTGATGATAGCCATTCTTTCTGGAGTGGGATAGGATCTCAATTTTGTTTTAATTTGCATTGCTCAACTGGCCAGTGATGTTGAACATTTTTTCATATATTTATTTGCTGCTCATACTTCACCTGAGGTGTCTCCTTATTTCAAATGCTCATTTTTGGATTGTGTCTTTAAATTTGAAGGTATTTGTGGTCCAGGAAGTTTATATTTGTAACCTAATGGAAAAGTCATTGGAATTCCAGTCTACCACTTCCAGTACAGCCCCTGGCGAGAATAAAGACACTAAGGCATATTTGTAGTTGTGGGGAGCCAAGGGAGCCCTAAACCCAGTATTAGCCAGTAAGATGGCTAATAACTGCAATAAAGTCCTTGACCTAGGGCCACATTGAGGTTTTTAATTCATGAAGAGGGGCGTGACAGGATGGGTGACTGTGAGATGGGTGGGAAGTATGTCAGTGTTTGAGCTGGACCAGGTCGATGGCCTGAAATCACTTCTGCAGTATTCAAAAGAAGACTCTTCATAATGCAATTGAAGGTCGTATCTGATGTTTTGTGGTCAGTGCTTCGACTCTGCTGTGTGATCTCTTATGCACTGGGAAGTCACAGCCTCTTATCCCGAGGCTCCATCCCAGCTGACGGTGACAACAGGGAGTGTGGAGATAGTGTGGGGACAGCGGGAGCGTGGCTGTCTCACCTGCCCATGTCACACACGCTTATTGAGAACTACAGAGCAATTAACACTGACTTGCTTCAAAGTCTACCCGTCAGCTAGACCCGTCTGCATGTCTGCATTGCTTAAAGCCAGTTGAGGGGATAAGGAAAAGGCCTAGCCAGCTCTTTTACCTGTCAGTACACCGAAATAAGGCCAGGTTTAGCCAAAACAGAGACAATTGCTCTTTTAAGGAGAGTCATCCAGGTGGTCCTCCACATGACATGACATGACATGACTTTTTTTGCATGCTATACATTCTAAGATATTAGTCCTTTTTTTTGAGAAGTAGCTGATAATTCTTTCCCCATTCTATGGCTTGTTTCTTTTTTTTGTTTTGTACCGAGGATGGAACTCATGAGCATGAGCTTCCAAGGCAGGCACTTACGCCTGCTGAGCTAAATCCCCAGCCTATGCCTTGTCTCTTAACTCTGTTTGTTAAGATAAGATCCAGGTTGTTGATTCTTTGTAATATTTTTTGTGTGATTAGCATTTTGTTCATACAATGTTTGGTTAGACTTATCTCTTCAAAAGTTGTATCTATTCGTATTCCAGCAGATTGTTTCTGCTTTAATAAATAGGTCTTTGATCCATCCTTATTTTAGTTCAGTGCATGTTGAGAGGTGGGTCTAGATTTGATCCTCAGCATCACTGAATTTTTTTAATTTAAAAAGTGAAAGGAAAAGTTCTTATTAAAAAGTATATACTAGGGGCTGGAGATTTAGCTCAGTGGCATAAGCGCCTGCCTTGCAAGCAGGCAGTCGTGAGTTCGATCCCCGGTACTGATAAAAAAGAAAAAGACAAAAAACAAAAAAAAAAAAAAAAAAAAAAGAAGTACATACTAATAAGTCAAGGGATAGGCTATCTGGGGCTTTAAAGTACTCCAGGAATAACAAGTGAATAGGGGCAGTATATCAGTCAGTGTTTTCTAGAGAAATATATAACACAAGATATGCAAATGTATAAGAAATTACAAAACTGGCTTACAGTAGTCAGCCACAGAGTCAGACAAGGGAGCGTGCAGAGGATGTCTGTGTGCAGGAGGTCAAAGGGTCCAGCCAAGGGGTAGAGCTTACTGCAGTGTCCTTTTGCTCTTGTCACTCCACAACCTTGAGCTAAATAAACCTTTGCTTCCTTTATTTTGGGCGTCAGGTATTTTGTTTCAGCAACAAGGGAAAAGCAACCAGCACATGACATCATATGCCCAACAGCTGTTGCTCCATATTCATGGGATTGGTGTTTGCATAGGTGAGTCCTTCCTGCCTTTTATCTAGAACCCAGGATCTGGGACTGGAGCCCCCAGCCCGAGGGTAATGCAGTTCTGCTGCCTGTGTTCCTCTCTCACTGGTGAATCAAAGCCTTCCCTCTCTAATTCTTGCTTGAAAAGTCTCTTCTCTGCCTTTGAAAAGTGACTGCCATCTGTCCCCCACCTACAGTGCTCTGTCCTTCCCACCTTTCCCACCCACCACTTAGCTGCTATCAGCTTTGCCACAGAAACCATTTCCTTGTGCCTCGGCTCTCATACCCTTGTCAATCTCGGTCCTTTGCTAGTGACTCATCTGATTAAACTAATGTGTAGGTAAGTAATTTTCGACTGTAAAAGTCACTTTCTGCTTTAGACTCCAAACTAGTTCTCTTGTTATATTGTGGCCAGATTTCAATTCCTGTTCTGTGCTCTCCTTACATCTGCTTACTCCACACCTTGAATTTAACCTGTCTCCCCACAATTCATCTTCACCATCCAGATAGGCAAACATTTCTAACTATGAAAACATGGTCTTCCTCACGGATGTTAGCCAGGCATTGTCGCATGTTGCTGGTTGGGCAGAAACTGATGCAAGGGATTGAAACTCCCAACCTATATGTCCGCGACTTCGTGTTCTCTAAAATCAAAGAATGAATTTTAGGAACAACGGAGGTTAAGACTAGAATATATTTATTGAGAGAAAGAAAGCTTCTGTCTGAGAGAGACAGAAGGGTTCCTAAGCAGGTTGCCCAAGAACTCTATCTTTTCCAGGGACTTTTATAGAGTAAAACCATGGGTTCAAGGTGGGGGAACTGGAAACTCACAAGGCAGATGGGCATAAGGTAGGAGCATAACTATAGTTAGTCAAGAAGATTAATAGTTACATTAGGGACAAATGGGGAAGCCAGTCATGGAGCATTCTTAAAGTTGTGACGTTTCCCCTAGGGGGATGGGATGGTGACTCCAGGCTTCCTCAGTGCGATAGGGAACTAATTAGAATATCAGTCTTTAGGATGTGGATGCATTTGATATGGGCCTGGCCCACCACAGGAGGTGTCTGTTTTCCCCACAGTTATAAAGTATCTGCACTGGCTCCACTGAGGACTTAGCCTTGTCTCACTGCCTATAATATTTCTTTTTTTTGTCTTTTTCCTTTTTATCGGTACCAGGGATCGAACCCACGACTGCCCGCTTGCAAGGCAGGCGCTTATGCCACTGAGCTAAATCCCCAGCCCCCACTGCCTATAATCTTTCTAACTCGGCTGCCTGCAACAAAACCACATGAAGGCAATGTGTGATGGACTTGAAAATCCATTCCGTCTCACACACTGAGGGCTTGTCAATGTTCTAGAGAGACAGAGAATTGGCTTTACTCATTCAGAACCTGCCAATTCCACTTCTAGGTTTTTACTTATATGTCTGCACACTCTTAAAATGATACTCATACATGCAGAATTGTACACTTGAGCAATAGCAAAAAAATTGAGAATAAATGTTCTCAATTTTTTTGTAATAGCAAAAAAATTGAGAATAAATGTTTTCTGTAGGGACCCAAGTGACAGCCCTCCCTGCCTCTCCTATGGGCACTGCATCTGCCTACATTAACCATAATCCTCTCCTGCTTACGTCACGTATCCGGATGTGACGGTGATGCTGTTGTATTCATCCCCTTAACCTCTTCCCGCCCTTAGCCTATAAAAGGTGTGATCATTTCCTGAATAAACTGGAGGCTTGATCGGATTATCTCGACTTGCCTCTATCTCTCTTTGTCTCCCCTATGTCTTTTATTTAATCCCCATTCCTCCTTCAGGAGTTCTCCATTGATTGATCTGCAGGCCGGATCAGTTTTCTATGATGGGACTGAATAAATAAATTCTTGTATATACAACGAAATGCCATGCATCTAGTGATGGGTAAGTGCTTTGTGTTGACTTAACTAAGCCACAATCAGTTAAGGCTATTTCAATCAGTTGAGTTTTGCAATAGGAGGAGGAAATCTGCTTCATCACCGTAATACAGGAACTTTGAGTTTCCAGGTTACTGTTGTGCTGTAGAAACTTTGGACTCGGAACTGCAAAATCAACCTTATTTCTGAATTTCCAGCCTACTGACCTGCCGTGCAGACTGAGTCCTGCCAGACCTGCTTAGTCGTGTGACGTAGTTATATCAAAGGAAGGTAAACCGTGTTTGTCTGTCTCTGTGCCCCCAGCTGTGATACACGGCTGTGAAAAAATGAATATGAATATACTTTATGTGGAAAGCTGCCCGAGATACATTTTTGAGTGAAAACCATGTTTTAACTGTGTATACAATAAAAGAAAGTGAAGTAAGAATGTGTGTTTGTATTTGCTTATATCTTTACAAACTCTGGAAGGATGTACAAAATAATGTGGGTTCTGGACAAACGGACAAAGATGGGAGCATTTTTAAATAGCTTTGTGAGACATGACTATTCAGAGACTTAAATTTTCTGAAGAGTAAATGAGCCCCTAATGGCTAACTCTTTCTTCTTGGTGCAGATACTAACTCAGCAGCATGCTACACTACATGTATTCTTCTCTGGCGTTTTCTCGTTTAGCACAGGGACGCTGTAGCCTCACCACTCTGACCCGCTTCACCCTGCTTTCTTTGATTGTCCTCTGGGTTCCTCATTACATGCACTCTCCGTGGTCTCTCTTAGGCATCCATGCTCTAAGTCTCTGGTCCTCTGCTGCAGCTGAAACTGTGGCCCTATGTACCAGGGCTGCGTCTCTGCTGCTCCTGAGCTCCACAACGCACATCCGCTGCTTTCTAGCCATCTCCAGACTCGGAGTGTTATTCCCACGGCACCAGACACTACATGTTCAAAGGAACTTGTCAGCCTCAGCTAAACCTTTTCTACTGGCTACAAACATACCATGTTTGGTGTGATCCTCAACCCAAAGAGGGCATTTTGATGGTTACCACGCCTGGCAAGAGCTACTCAAATTTAGGGCAGAAGTCATCAATAGTAAACATCCTCAAACACCTAGTACAGCTGGCCCAGCAGGAATTTCCCACACAAAGTGACTGCTCTTACATCACCACTCTGGTTCAAAATCTGGTGGCGTCTAGAGCTCTGCTCTTTTCCTCACTGACAGTGCGTTGTTAAGCCCAGTCGGTGCCACCTCTGAAATACACCTCTCCCTCCTTGCTGTCAGCTACAACTTCAGTGCCGGTCAAACCCTCATGTGAAAGCTTGCCTTTCCGGCCTTCTTTCCACTTACAATCTGTTTGAGACAATGCAGTCATTTCCTCCCCTTCAGTGTTCCCTTCTGGAAAAATAAAGCCCTGAGAAATAACTGGTACTTTCAGGATTTCCATGCAAAGCAGTCGCTGTCCACCTGTTTCATTTTACCTCCTTCCCTGCAAAGATCAAGATCTACCTACTTCTGAGATTCGGGGAGTAAACAAAGGCCACTCTGGGACACAAGACGTGAGCCGAACCTCCTCACGTCCGCCCCTCAGACCAAACTGCCCTGGCTGACGGAAGATGCTAAACCCAAAGCCTCACTACTCAGGCAGCATCTGAGTGGAACAAAAGCTAAGTTACTCAGTTTCCCAGAGTGACAAGGCCTGGTGAAAGACCTGGGAACCCAGGATTCTGGTTTCTGTAAAGGAATAACTGGTTATGTGGTGTTCTGTAACGAGACCTGAGCTCCACGTTTTTCTCATTTGCAAAAGTGAGTGATATCCCCACTCCAGACCTCCTGTGAGGATGCAAGAAATCATAAAATTGATAAATGAAAAGCCAGTGTTTCCCCCAAGTTTTGTTTAAAGTATGATGGGCTGTGAGATCCTTCCCACCACAGCAGCCCTGAGGTTGCCCATCCTTAGACCTTAAGGTTCCCTCCCCCAGGGGAGAGGTGTGCAGAAGGCCTGCCTGCGTGTGGCAGGTGACAGCTATGCTAGTTTGGTGCAGAGGGGCAGTGCTGACTGAACCTGGCACCATTCTGCGCACCTCACATGCATCTGATCTAATTCCACAGACAGGGCCTGTAGTGGTTTCAAAGATGTTCGCAGAGTCTCTGGTACCTCCACAAAGGCAGAGCTGACCTCTCCCCCAGGGATCATTCTAGTCAGTACAGGAGAGTGGATGTGACAGTGTGTGGCCTCAGCAGCTGAGTCATAAAGAGCCTCCATTGTTCTCTTTGCCTTCTCACTCGGATCACTTCCACAGGGCACCCAGCCACCTGTCACACACAGGCATTCGGGGACCAACAGAACCTCTAGAGTCAGAACCTCAATCTTCTGCTCTACCCTGTGCAATGAGCTGAGGACTGATTTGCTTTTTCTCTTTGTGGCCAGTACACAGCAGTGTGGGGAAACCGCGGTCAGCCCAGCCTGAGGTAGGTGCTTTCCGGGGAGCAACAGCATTGCCTGGGTCATTCTCACGGTGCCTGTCCCCTCCTGTTCGCACAGCACACCCTGTTTGTGTCTTCTGTGTTACACCCTTTGCAGCTGGGAGCTCATCCATCAGCAGGCTCTAGTACTTGGCCCTCCCAAACTGAGGGCTTACTATTTATTAAGTAAGTGAGAGCTGGATTGACTGTGACACATTTCCCGAGTGCCTTGCCACCTGAGCCTGATTTCCTTGTCTGCCAGAGTCACTTAGCTTTTAAAAAAGCAGTGTAATGGAGGAAAGATTCATTTGGGCGCATGGTTTTAGAAGTTCAGTCAGATGGAGGGAAGCTCATTGGTGGGGCTACGAGCTGAATGCGTGATGTCACGTGTCACTCTGTAGCATGTCCCTTGGGAAGATGTGAGACTTGGGCCAATGGCAGCCCTAACAGGGCCCTCCCTGAACAGGAGGTGAGTTCCCAGAGAGGGGCTCCGCGTGCGAGGGCAGACTGGGCAGAAGTTCAGTCAGTGCTGGGCTTGTACCAGGCTTTGGGGCTGTGGAGATTGCAGCATCCAGGGAAGGTCTTGGAGGTTCTTTGTGGGAGGAGGGGAAGGATGATGCAAGGATGGGAAAATAAAGAGATGAGAGCTGAGGTCAGGTGGAGCCCTGTCCCCTGATGGGGGAAAGGCACTGCTCAGCCACTGCAGGGCACGGGAAGTTGGTGTCCATTCCCCTCTGTCTGCACCTTTGTATGGCTGCCTGAGCACCTTCTGTTCCTGGAGCTGGAACAGCTTGCTTTCCCTAGCTTGCCTCGGGCTCTGCTGTTCTCAGGGCTGGCCTTGCTTTGGTCTTGCACATGCAATCAGTGTCCGGCTTCAGCCACTCCCCACAGGAGAAAGTGTTCCCACGGGTGTGGTGGAGAACTGCTCACCCTATGGAGGTGGAGAAACACAGCCTGTGCCATGAGCTCCTCTGCCTGCGTGTGTCCCACCCAGGCCTCCAACCCACTGACGGTGCTGCCCCTCAGGGTGCTGTCCCACATGCAGTGTGACTCAGGAAACACAGGCACACCCAGAAGAAAGCTTTACTCATTTGGTAGCATTTATCAGCCAATCAAGTTGGCTGTCACGGCACCCCACAGCACCCTTAGGCACTGCTCACCAGTTTGCTCCTTTTCCCCTCCTCTGAGCCCAACACCAAAAAGCTGATTCCCATAGACTCTGTAAAGGAGGCAAATTTTATCTTGCTTTCTCATTTTGCTTGGCAGGAGAATTAATGTTAAACAGATCAACAGTGAAAAACAGACAAATTTATGGAATACATTTTTCATAGCATAGGATCCTTCACAAGGAAATGAAGACCCAAAGAAGCCGTTAGAATCGGACACTTACAAACTGAATGGGACAAAAAGAAGTAAACTTACTCAGTAAGGCAAGGGGTCTTAGCAGGATGGCTAATTTGGTGAAGAAATAACCAGTGTAACAATGCTTGTTCAGATTTTCCTCACCTTGATAACTGTGATGCTACTTTCCTTCTGGTATAGAGACATCTTTCACATGAGAATTCCATCCTCTGATTTTAAGAAGGATCAGTGATTGTTTTTTAAGTGGCTTTAAGTCCACACAGTCGACATTCCAGAGCTACTTGTCTTGGGATGGCATGATCTGAACTTCAATGCCAAAGGGCGAAAGACCAGAATGGCCATAGTGATCCCCCAGTGGGCCTGGGCACACCACTTCCTAGAGCCTGCAGGTGTTACCTACATGTCCAAAAAGGACTTTGCAGATGTGGATGTGGATCTTGAGATGGGGAGATTAACCTGCTGGCACCAAAGAGTGGCCAAGGCAGAGACTGAGTGGTGCCCCACAAGCTCAGCATGGTCATCACTGGCATGAACAGGGATAGTCCACCCTCTGGGTCTGCCAACACCTTTGCTTGACCCGGGGATACTGGACTGTAGAATTCTAGACTCTAGAACTGAGAACAAGCCTTTATTGTTTACAAGTGAAACCCTCTGTCTTTCAGGCTCAGGGTGGTAACTGTTTCTGTAGTTGCTAGATGCGGGGTTCCACTCACCTTTGGTTATGCTTTCTCAAACTAAGTTGTTTGACTGCGTGGTCAGCTCCTTTCTGGAACTTGAAATAAAAGGCCAAACATGAAGAGACCCCTGAAAACACCTGCTTTCACCGTAGATCCTGCCTTTGGGCCCAGTCTCCATTGGCAATGCTGGGTCCATCTGACCTTAAGAACAGTGGTTCCTGATCCAGCCCTTACTTCTCAGAATGACATTTCTCAGAGGCCACGATATGGATGAATCCTCCTGACCCATCCTGAAGCTGGAAACCCATCTGAAGCAGAGAGCAAATCGAAGGCAGGATTCTGAACACAGGTCTGACCCCACGGTCAGGCTGTTGATGCTGGTCCCCGTCACTCTCCTCTCCCTAAATATCTTCACAGAAACAAATCCAGAGGAAGATAAACTCTTCCAACCTGTCTCTTTATGTAAAACTATTTTTCTTGAAATCAATTTTTTACAGTTGCAGGTCAGGGATGTTCCACCACTGAAACTTACTGTTTACAGAGCTGAAAGCTAGTGGAATGATTTTTTCCTCAATATTAACACATTCTGCTGTTTCTTAAAGCTTCAGGAGCTGCCAGTGCTTTCCTACACTGATAGATATGCAGGATGCAAAGAGAAGCAGCACAGTAATTGTGTGTTTTCACAGTATGCCTTACTTCAATCCAGCTCATAGGTATGATTTTAATATTATAGTGTGCTTTTAGTGGAGCCAAAATTTCTTTTCTTTTTTTTTTTTTTTTTTGGTACCGGGAATCAAACTCAAGAGCACGCATTTGCAAGGCAGGCACTTACAATGCTGAGCTAAATCCCCTCAAACTTTCTGTAATTAGAGAAAGTCAATTCGTAACACCTGTGCAGGAAGCTGTCCTGTGGAAAACCCAAGTTGTGCTCAG